CAGGGAACTACACTCAGTATTCTGCAATAACCTCTAATGGAAAAGAATCTGGAAAAGAACCACTTTACTGTACCCCTGAAATTAATACAACACTGTGAGTTAACTATACTTCATTTTTTAAAAAGATATTTTAAAAAGAGCGATAAGAGATCCAAATGTAATGCACAAACCTCCATCGGACCATGATTGGAAAAAAATGGTTACAAAAACGTCCTTGGCATAACTGAGTATATTTGAAATAGACCACGTTAGGTGACAATCTGAAATGATTCATCCTCTCAAGTCGTATTTTGATTATAGCTGTATTTTAAGAGAAGTATGCTCAAGTATTTACAAGCATTTCGTCTTGGTATCACAATACAGACATACCACATACACAAATGAAATGCCAAAAGTTGCTAATTTCAGCGAAGGGTAGAGAGAGTTCACTTTCTGAACAGTGCTATAATTATGAACATTTTCATAATAAAGAGTTGATTGCATATTATTTAAATAAAAACATAAATCTCACTTCCTAGAAACAAATACTAAAGACCCCTTATGGGGTCCATAAGACCCCAAGTTCAGAATTACTGATCTAGATCATTCTTTTGTTTGTTTACCTTCCAGAGTGTTAAATAAAAACGAGAGGTACCTCAACTGCAAGAGACAAACTATCAGGCTCTTGTGCGTAACAGGAATGATGCAAGTGTGGCCTGAAGACACAGGACTGAGCCAGGCGGTGACTGGAGGATGGGGGTGCGGGGTCGGGGTGGAGGCTACAGTGAGCCTCCCAAGGCTCAGACTTTCCTTGCCGCCTGAGGTCAGGATTGTAACCGGAGAGCTGATGTATTTTAAAATATGAAAGAAGACAACTAAAACTGTCAATACTTTGTAAACATAATCATTTGTGCTTAAATAGGAGGGTTTTAAGGGGGCTTCCCAGGTGGTGCAAGTGGTAAAGAACTCTCCTGCAAATACAGGAGATGCAGGTTCAATCGCTGGGTCAGGACGATCCCCTGGAGGGCATGGCAACCTACTCCAGTCTTCTTGCCTGAAGAATCCCATGGACAGAGCAGCCTGGAGGGCTACAGTTCGTGGGCTCAAAAAGAGTCACACACGCCTGAAGCGACTGAACACACAGCACAGTGAGCTAAGATTCCACACATGACTTAGCGTGGCACATAGGGTTTTAAAGGGTAATGATTTCCCACTAAACAAAAGGCATAAAAAATTAACACACACACACACATATATATATAAAGACACAAGGATTGAAATGAAGGGGCTATCAAGAATTCAAACAACCAATTCAAGTAACCCTCAAAATGTATTACAACACACACACACACACCTGTCACAATGGGGAATTTCAAATAAGCTCTGTGGACGGGATCAGTGCGCCGAGCCCCATAGCTCACCTTGGATCTACACCATGCAGGCAGACACACATGCTATAATCTAACACTGACGTCCAGGTCAGTTCTGTGCAGGACTTTAGTTGCAACACTCTACTACAGTTATGCAAGATGAAAACTCGAGGAAAACTGGGTGCAAGATACGTGGGACCTCCTTGAACATTTTTCTGCAAATTCTTGTGAATCTCTAATCATCACAAAAGTTATGCATTGTAGATCTCACAGCCTGGTCTTGTCCTGTTTGAACACGCCCTTCAAAACCTCTCCACCACCAATCAGATACATGACACTCTTTCTTTAAAAAGAACTCTTCCAAATCCTAAAGAAAAGCGATTCTTTAAAAAAAAAAAAAAAAAAGAGTTGAAGCTCAAGGAGAAATATAAAGACATGTGTACATCTCTAGCAAACAAAGGGCTCCCTCCCAGACCCCTCGGTCTCCCAGAAAGCACCAGGGCAAAATAGGAATTCTCTGTCTGCTTTGTTTTCCGGGGCCACACAATCAAGTGAAGCAGGTGAAGCGGACCCGGGCAGCCAGCCTGGAGTGGTTCATTCGGGGCTGAGGACAGCTGACAGCTGGGGACAGAACCACCCCCGCCATCCCCCTCCCCACACCTGCTGCTCCTCTGGCCTTCAGAGAGCCTGAGCAACAACCAGGAGCCTAACAACTGCCTCTCAATGTCACTCAAGGAACAGGCTGCGGTTCTTCCTAAGGATTAGTGTCCACACATTTTTGCTCCCGAGATGAGACTGAGTGGACTCAGAAATAAGGAAGGACCCTGCTCCCGACCAGGAACCCTCTCCCACAGCCCCTCCTGCTGGAGCTGCAAGCAGAAACACCAGCTGCCAATTCTCCCTCCTGCTCCCAAAGCTTGGCAAGAAGGGCAGAGAGGCAGGCCCCTGGAAGGGAAGGTCTGGGGCCATGTTCCCCAGGGCGCCGACTGCACCAGCTCTCCACCCACCACCATATTTGTTCACAGGTCAGAGGTCACCCTGGAGAGAGGTCACTGCATGAACACAGCCCTCGAGAAACGTTACTGAGAGGCCAACACGGTAAACGGTTGGTTGGGTTTTTATCTGCTCTGAAGACGCACCATCTGGTTTTCATTTCACCTGAACACATGGGTTTTGCATAATTATTATTAAAGGAGTCTTGCAAATGCATTTGTCCGATGCTGCCTGATTTTTTCAGGCAAGGAAATACCTTTGTGTGTGCTGCTGTGCTAAGTGGCTTGTCGTGTCTGACTCTTTGCAACCCCATGGACTGTAGCCCGCCAGTCTCCTTTGCCCACGGGATTTCCCAGGCAAGAACGCTGGAGTGGGTTGCCATGCCCTCCTCCAGGGGATCTTCCTGGCCCAGGGACTGAACCCGCGTCTCTGGCATCTCCTGCACTGGCAGGAGGGTTCCTCACCATTAGCGCCACCTGGGAAGGCCCTACCTTTCACACGCAACTCACCCCAAGTGTCTGGTACACGCACGGGCCCGTGTTTTAGAGCCATGCCTAGAGAGATGCTGGTGAGGAGATGCGCAAGGGCACCAATGATGACGACTGCTAAGTGGGGGAAGTAGGGGGTTTACTGTACCTTTTACTTTCCTGTATTTTACACTTTAAAACCAACCAACCACCCAGCAACAACCGTTCACTGCAGAGAAACAATGCGCAGTGTGCACCGCAGGGATGAAGAGGATGCCCACAGAGCAGGCGAGTTCACTACAGCGCTCCTGGAGGTGTCAGCCAGGCAGCGGGGGCTGGAGCCAGAGAAGAGCCTCCGCTCTCAGGGGGGTTGGCAGATACTGCACGGAATTTCCAGAGATGATGTATAAAACGGTACCCAGAGTCTGCCCACAACCAAGGCAGGAAGGGCACTGGTAAATGTCAGAGGCTGGAGATGCACCACCAGGCAGCGTAAGCAGCCTGGCGGGAAGGGGCCCCGCTGGTCTGTTCAGGGAGCACCTCATCAGTAACTGGCTGCGCCATTTCAATCACGGGAAGTCGGCATCTGCAGCGTTCACCACTCTGTGATCTTAACCTTAGCATTTAACTGGAAAAGAATCCAATGGGATCACTAGAACACAACAGAAATCACCTAGGAGGTTACAAGAATCCTCTGGCCAGCCAAACAATGGTACTTTTTTTATTATAAAAAAAAATAACAGTGGGATTTCCTGGGCTGTTCAGAAGTTAAGACTCCGCACTTGCAATGCAGGGGTCATGGGTTCGATCCATGGTTGGGAATCTAAGATTCCAAGTGCTGCAAGGTGCAGCTAAAAGGATTAAAAAAGAGAGAGAAGAGTGCAGTCACTGCATCAAATATCACACCTTCAAATATTTATATAAGGTTCTCCCAGCTGCCTGGTGGTGCAGAGATGACACTCTAATTCTCACTCAAGCAATCCACATGCTGGCAATGAGCGTTCCTAGAGTCTGAGGGGAGAAGAAGGCAGAGAAGAAGACCTTCCAGGTGATCAGCTGCACACCTGGGACCAGGTCAGCCATCTTCTCCCTCAATGGGTCCCACACTTGGGGAGATTACAGCTTGATTCAGACACCCCGAATGGTTTCTGGTTAGCTCACTCTAGAATCTCTATGATGTAAATTTCACTCATCATTCTCTGTCTCTCTGAACGTCGCTCAGTCATGTTTGACTCTTTTGAGACCCCAGGGACTTTTGAGACCACCAGGCTTCTCTGTCTGTGGAATTCTCCAGGCAAGAACACTGGAGTGGGTTGCTATTCCCTTCTCCTTCCCAACCTCGGGGACGAACCCGGGTCTCCTGCATCTGCACTGCAGGCAGAGTCTTCACCATCTGAGCCACCTGAGAAGCCCCTATTCATAATTAAGCAAGTTAAAAGCAATCACGAGAGGATAAAGATTCAGATGAAAATTTAAAAGAAGATGGATTTGGTTCATTATACCCCGTGGTTACTTTTTTAAATTGAATGTGGACTCATGCCTATGTGCACACGATCACACATGGGTACATACACACTTACCTTTCATTGGAGTTCATGTCTCCTTATTCCCATCCAAAGCTACACGGTAAAACCCTCATGTGGCCATTTTGAGAACTATTTTTTGCTACTAAATTTTGCCAACAATCTGCTCAGCATTCTAGCAGATGTTTCTGTTTGCAAACCTCTGGGAACTTGGCTGGATCTGTTTTCTTTCCCCCATGTCAAAAATAAAAGAAATGGCCCAAATGTGGCCCAATACCCCAGAGAACCTCTTCCCCACCCGCCCCCTCAACCTCCCTACTCATATGACCTCCGTGATGACTTCTCAAATCTTTTCCATTAGAGAAGATGTTTCCAATTATGGTCCATTATGCTGCCAAGGATGACATCATTCCGATGTGCCTTTTTTTTTTCCTTCCCTTAAGAAAACGCTACTGATTCTTAGTTACTTGGGACCCATCTGCAACAACTTAAGCCAGCTTGTCTGCTGAGCCTTCGGAACCCACAGTGTCACATGAGGGTAATTTGCTCAAGATCGATTCTCTAAACAGAACAACTCCCCTTCAATAGGGGGAGGCTGAAGGGGGACGGGAGGGATCCTTGTTTTTTATCTAAGGATTTCTTTGAAAACATCTGTGGCCCAACCTTACCTCGGTAACATCCATAACTTTGATGGCTGCCAGCTGACCTGTTTTAACATGTCGACCCTGAAAAACAGAAACGAAAGAAAGATAATTGGCACAAATGCTCTGCACCATGATGAGAACAGAACGGCTGAAGTTTCAACAAATCACCTCTTCTGAGCTTTTACCCCCAAAAGTGATGCTGACAGAGTCCCAGGCTCTCCCAATTGGTTTGTAAGACTTCGTGAACCACACTGAAAGAACCAATCAAGCAGCATAACAAACAAGTTTTGATAAAAAAATCAATTCCCTCCTTCTTTCCTGGGTTTCATTTACATATCATTGCCTTTCAATCAGAATATCTTAAACCTTTTCCTCCATACCTCAGGGTGATCAATCCTTTTTTCTCAACATTCCACATGAAGGAAATAACAAAAAACAAAAAAGTCTGGATATCATACTGCCATCTGGGAAGCCCAGATATTATATTATTTACCATCAAAAATGGGTAACAGTCATCTTCTGCTGATGCACCCCCAATAGCACTTGATTTTCCAAGAGTTTACTGAGTGTCTTCCCGGACACTTTCCTGTGGGCCCAATGCAGGGAGGCTGCAGGGTTACTCAGAACAAGGTTGGGGGGCAGGAGCGCATGCAGAGACGGGGTGCAGAGAGAGCACTGCCTTACAGCTGTGTCACAATTCCCGGCCCAGGACATAAACATCTGTTACTCGTGTGTATCACGAGCATCTCAGACAAGCTGGGCACTGCTCTCCCATCCCCTCCGCCGACAGGAGCTTCCTCGCCATTGGCTCTTCCCCGCATCCCTCTCTGCACTGCCCTGTGGGCATCTCCCCGGCCAGCAACAATACGCTGCCCTGACACCGTGAGCACCCTCTCCTCAAGGGCTTTGCAGAAAACGGTCCTTCTGCAGCAAACGTGAAGCAGAAGGCACGTCCCCAGACTTTCCAAGAGCTGCCTCACTGTGGCCTCGTGATGGAAAGAGTTATGAACTTTAGAACTTGAAACCCGAGAGGGGAAGCTCTCCATTTATTCTGGAAAGCTTGGGCAGGGACTCAAATTCCAATTCGGACAAAACAACTCCATGAAAATGACACTGAATTACTAAGGAGTCTCAGCTCCCTGCAGTCATAGCAGTCCCTCTCTGAGCAGGGCTGGGGACAGCCTGGATGCAGGAAAGCCAGACACACAGACCCCACAGGCCCGGAGCCTCCTTCCATCGTCCCCCACCTGCAGACCGCGCACCTCACCCCTACCTGGGCCACTGTCAGACGTCTGTAGAAGCCCCACCTCTGCAGGGGCACGGGGCAGGGAGGGAAGAACACTCCTCGTGGGCCAGTCCCAGGAGCCCTGCTTCCAGCCTTGTCACCCAATCCCACTGCCAGTCCCCGAGTGCCCTCTGAGTCACCAGCCTCATGCTCCCATCACATCCTCCTGCATCCAGCACAGCACAAGGGACAGGCTGCCACAGCTGTTTGTGTTAGTCGCTCAGTCGTGTCTGACTCTTTGCGACCCCATGGACTGTAGCCCGCCAGGCTCCTCTGTCCATGGGATTCTCCAGGCAAGAACACTGGAGTGGGTTGTCATTTACTTCTCCAGGGGTCCTCCCGACCCAGGGACTGAACCTGGGTCTCCTGCATTGCAGGCAGATTCTTTACCATCTGAGCCACCAGGGGAGCACAGCTGGGTGACCCACAATCCCAGCCCCACACTGCACATGATGTGACCTAAGGGGCTGTCCCCCGCTTGGAGGTAGAGGGTGGACCCTGACAGTGTGTTAGGGAACTGGGCGTAGTGGCCATGGTTGACTACCTGTCCATACACCATTCTGCATCTGTTGACGTATCCGCCTTTGACTCTCACCCTAGGGTTCCGGGCTTTGGAAGCTCAGCCCCTCCGGAGCGTGGTGCCCACAGCTGTGACACGCAGACACGCAGGGCCAGTGACCCTCTCTGGCTACAGGACAGGGCGCCCAGCATGGGAACCACGGCCATACCCACACAAACGGCCTCCTCTGTCAGCAGGGACAGCGCTGCCCGTGTTATGGGGGTGTCACGGGAAAAAAACGATGGAGGGGCAAAAGCAGCACTCAGCACAGGGTCAAGGGCAGCCCTGGTGATCAAGTACAGCTGGACCCTGTCCCCCACCACCAGTGACAGAAGACAAATTTACCAGCAGAGACTCAGCAGCCAGGTGACTGTGACCGTGGCCACACAATCCTGAAGCCAAGTTATAATTTCCGAGAATCCAAGAAGAAAGAGGAGAACTTAAGAGGACAGCTAACTCTCCAGGCCTTTCCACGTGAGGGACGCCAAGATCAGCTCCTCCTCACCAGGGTGGCCCCCCAAACTGGACCCACAAGCCCATTGCTCCTCCTGCAATGGTGTGCTCAGGTGGTCAGCCGTGTCCGACTCTGTGTGACCCCATGGACTGTAGTCCACCAAGCTCCTCTGTCCAGGGGATTCTCCAGACAAGAATACTGGAGTGGGTCTCCAATCCCTTTCTTCTCCAAGGATCTTCCTGACCCGGGGATCGAACTCGGGTCTCCAGCCCCCTAGGTCGATTCTTCACCCACTGAGCCATCGGGCAACACCTTCCTGCAGTGGAGTTGCTTCCACATAACCGGGAATGCAGAAGCCAAAAATAAAAGCTGGCCTTCAATCCCTGGCCTCTTCTCTCCCATGACAAATCAGGAAAAGTCGATGAAAGAACACCCCCAGAAGAACACTCTGGAATGTGAAGGCGAGTGTGAGCAAAGTTCAAGCCCCTCACCCACAGACTTGGGAAACTAAAATGTGTTCTTGTTGGTTCCTTCTTTTATCTCACCAATTTTCTTTCAATAAATATTGGAGATCAGAATGCTTTTGCTTTCTGTTGAGTTTAATTTGAGACAACTTTACAGATTAACTGCCTGAAGTTGACCTGTTTGCTTAACAGCAAAACCCATCAACGGGCTTCCCTGGTGCTCAGACGGTAAAGAATCTTCCTGCAAGGCAGGAGACCTGGGTTCGATCCCTAGGTTGGGAAGATCCCCTGGAGGAGGAACTGGCAACCCACTCCAGTATTCTTGCCTAGAGAATCCCATGGACAGAAGAGCCTGGCGGGCTACAGGCTTACAAAAGAGTCGGACACGACTGAGCATGAAAAGCCCATCAACACCAACCTAAGCAAGCGGAGGGCGGCGGCCTGCTCTTAACAAGTGGCCAGGGTGTGAGCTGCAGGCTGAGAGGGTAGCCCACTACCCCTGTGCAGGGAGGTGGAGGTGGGGGGGTGGTACTGAGAGGGCTGCAAAACTGTCCACAGGAAGGAGCATTACATAGTGACAGAAAGAAGAGAAAGACGCCGCAGTCTGCAGCAGAAACTTAGCAACCAGGACAGGGTGAAGCCAAGTGCTCCGGGTCACCCTGGGTGATACGAAGTACCTTTAAAGGCGGAGTCAGATGGGACAGACTGTGGGGCCAGTGGTGGAGACCCTGTGCAGACCGCGAGGACTGCCTGGTGAGCCTGAAGATTTCAGGGGGCAGAAGGGGTCCCCTTGAGATGTGAGCTGCAGACCATCCTCACCAAATCCCAGAAAGGAACACATGGGCAAGCGTCACCAGGCCAAGGGAGCGGAAAGAACCCAAAGATTCAGACCCAAACACAAGAATTCTCTCAGAGAGGTGCAGGAACCCATGGCTAGTGATTCTTACGCATTCTGAATTTTGAAAATCGCTTCTCCATACTTGCATGAAAAAGCCCAAATTCAAGTTCTCATATCCTTTCTGGTATTTATTACCATAAAGATACATACTCATTGTCTTAGTTGGGGTCTTGATATGGGAAGGTCAGATTTATAACAAACCAGCTCTAACAATGTCGATTATGTTTATCACAGAAACAGAACTATGTTCTGAAAGGTCCAGAAGCTCAAAGGACAGGCAAGCCTAGTTCATCAAAACGGCTGGTGAACAAATGACAAAGTCAACCCACAATGCAAACAAGAGACCATCCAGGGGCTCAGCCTGGTATCTCAGTTCTCTACCCAGAGGTATCACTCCTAAGAATTCCAGCTGCGAAAGGGAGATGGACCCAGCAGAGCACAGAGAATTTCAGAGCACAGTGAAAACCCTCTGCCTGATACTATAATGACAGATTCATGTCACCACGTATCTGTCCAAACTCAGACTGTACAACACCGGGAGTGAACCGTAGTGTAAAGCGAGTGATTACAATGTGTCAACGGAGGTTCATCAGTTTTAACAGCTATATACGGGTGGGAGGGGAGTGCCAATAACGGGGAAGGGATACGTATGTGTGAAAACAGGTATACCCGCACCGTCCTCTTAATTTTGCTGTGAACCTAAAACTGCTCTTAAAAAAAAAAAGTCTTTAAAAATTGTTTTAATTCTAAGGATAATTCCTCCTCACAAGCCCTTACTTGAAAGGGCAAACATGAAATCTAGCTGACCACGTGATGGACAGCAAGAGCTCAACACCCAGCAATGCACTGACCACTTTCTAAGGCTCCATGTCCATCCACGCCCAAGCCAAGACCAGCCTGGTTGGTTCTGCACTGAAAACCCCCAAACCACACCCCACTTATGAGTGCTCTTTTCCAGGAAGTATCTGCAAAAAAAAAAACAGCAACAGAGGAAGAGGGCATATTACCCAAACAGCATCCCCAAGCTACCTGAGATAAGGCAGCAGGTAATTAACTTGGGAGAGAGTCAGCTCAGGGCCCTTCGGGAAGGCGCTCAGACGCCTGAACACCTCCTGACACCAGGGCAGGCAAGGGCGACAAGACCCACTGCACACACCTTCTCATCACAGTCCTCCGGAGCCCAGATCCAGTGAGGCAGGCACTGCGACAGTGTAACTGCCATCTACTGTAATCAAGGTCTGTCCACTACTTCTCCCTCTGTTCCACGCTCAGGGCTGTAGATGAGCAGGAAGACTGAGAAAACATAGGGAAATTAAGTGTCATGTGTCCAAGAATCGTGATTTAATAAGAAAAACCAAGCTTCTATTCCTTGAAAATTAAGACCTCCATAGGAATTCTAAATTCTATAGGAAATCTAAAGG